TTTCCCTCCGTTTTTCTCCTCCCCACTTCGTCTCGTTTCCTTTTTATGCTTGGAACCGGGTCGGTGCCGTCACATTTTTGCATATAAAACCGCAATTAATGATAATGGAAATTGTTTCCTCGGCAAACCCGCATAACGCATAATCGTTATAAGCCTGGCTTAATCTCACCGTTCGGTGTTTCAATAAAGAACACGCAGAACCAGGGGATAAGGATATTTTACTATCGCTGCAAATTTCTGTACACGAAGATTGTGTAAGCATGACGAAGACGAGGTATCAGGCGATCGTTAAATAATACTTACGAAACAGAGAGATTCATCCTGTTTTCTAATCGTTTATTATTATTATTTTTTTCTTTTTTTTTTTGGATGGTTTTAAGTTTCCACTTATGGAAGAATATCGTGGAGACAATCACTTTATTCAGAACTTTTCCGCTTCGTTTGATTCATTTTTAAGTGAGGGGCCGATAAAGGGTATTTGATAGAGAGAAATTAATTAATTGCCATTCAATTCTGTTGAAATTAACAGAATATTCCTCGATTAATTTTTCTTCTTAATTTTTAATTTCTATCTTAACAGTGGAATTAATCACAGTTCGATTCCACTGTTGGAATTAATAATCCTTCGTGATATAATATTAAAAATCATGTAACGTCAATATATCATAAAGCCATTGAAAATTTACAATAATTGTTTTGTTCGATCTTCGTTTTAATAGAATTCTTTGAATCCCTTGACTTTATTCTATTGCCTGGATTATTCGCCGGCTTACCACTCAAGATAGCTTTATCTTAATCCATTACCCCTAAATATTCATGCAATAATAAAACTCGAAAAAGGATCAACCATTGAACGCTAATTTACAGAATTTACCAAATACTCTTTCCTTTGAAACACAATATTTGCTTATTACTACAAGTCTAAAATTCTAAAATAAATTATAAAACAAAATTAAATATCTCTCAACTAATATCTCTTACCTTCTTTATATAAATCTCAATTGTAAGATTATTATTGGAAGAATTTAAGTAATTTAAGTTCCATATTAGGATACATTACTTAGTACTTACGATACATAGATAGAGGGATGCGTGTAAGGTACGTAAGAACGCGGCTTAAATTCGCATGACCGGCTCTTTCTCCCGTGGAACGTTCCTTTTCCGTAGCCACCCCCTTTAAATACGATACGCTTCCGTTTTGCATTAGCTTATTTTGTATGCAGCTAATTTACATGTCTAACGGCCACGATAAAATTGGTTAACGCTGTTCCAAGCCTGTGAGCGAACGCCACCTAATTTAAGCTTCGGTGTAAGCAGTTAAGCTCCGTGGCCGATTTCGTAATATATGTTGCTACGATTTAATAGCGTGGAGAGCCACGGGGATGGCCGCGCCCTTATAAACCGATGCCTGCCCGCCGCGCCTGCCGCCCGAAGCCTGCAAAAAGCTCTGACGACGTGATTTTAATCCAATTTTACGACTGCCCGATCGTTATCTCTCGCACTCTTGCCCGTCGAGATCCTCCTTCTCGGATTGATTTTACCTTTCATTGAATTCGTAAAGAGCGTTTTTAAAAATCGTTTTTTTGGAGAGGGAAAAGGGGACAAGAGGAAAAAATAGAAAAGCGAAGAAGAAAGGGATGGGGAGGGAGAGGGGACGATTGTTTTCCTCGTGTTTGCTGACAGAGAAAAATTGGTGAGAAGAGAAATGATAAAAATGGAGAATGAAGGGAAAATGTTGTAAAAAATTGTTTTCCTCGAATTTGTTTGCGGAACAATTGATAAGAAGAGAAATAACAATAAAAGGGAAACATTGTAAAAAATTGTTTCCTCATCTCTGAATTTGTCTACCGGGAAAATTGGTAAGAAGAGAAATGAGAAAAATGGAGAAAGTATTGTAAAGGAGTAAATTTTCTTTGAACTTCTATTATAAAGAAATTGATGAGGGGGAAAAAAAAAGAGAGAGAAAAATAGATAACAAAAGAAAAGTACTATATAAAATATTCTTTTTGCTCCGATTTACTCATAGAATAGTTTTGACTATTTTAAGATAAATTTGGTGTCATTTATATAATATCTGTGTCACGTATCGATAAAAAAAGCGATAACATATGAAATACATTGTGAATTTTAAAAGAAATTTCACATTTTCTATCCTCACCTGAAGTACACGCGATTTTTCATTTTTTTTTTTCTTTCTTTTCAATAGTCAATCAAATATCCTGTGCTGCACCATATTCACGACTACGTCAATCGATGATAATAGTCAGTGTCTCGTGAATCTTTACATTTTTTTTTTCCAGGTCACGGATCTCGTATCCTAGATAGACATTTGGAACGCGGATTCTTATAATATGTCCGTCGAATATTGATCTACCGCAGTGAGGTTATATAAAGCTTTTCTCTCGATCCGTTTTTTTTTTTTTTCTTTCGTTTCATCCGGCAATCAAATATCCTGTGCTGCACCATATTCACGACTACGTCAATCGATGATAATAGTCAGTGTCTCGTGCATCTTCACATTTTTTTTTTCCAGGCCACGGATCTCGTATCCTAGATAGACATTTGGAACGCGGATTCTTATAATATGTCCGTCGAATATTGACCTACCGCAGTGAGGTTATATAAAGCTTTTCTCGCGATCCGTTTTTTTTTTTTTTCAAGATAACGAGATTTTCGCATTGACCCGAACTTTCTTTTGTAAAACGAAATTAGCGTGGTACAGGGAAAAGTACTCTCTTCCCTGTTTCTCTCTCTCTCTTTTTTTTCCATTTTTTCATTTCAATGTGTATCATCGTTTTCGAAATCACACGTGTCGTCACTCACATCATCCATCGATCGCTTGAGCTTTTATCTCGAAATGGAAATCCTTTGATGATATCCTTGACACCGTCGCGCGAAACTCTTCGAATGCGATTAATCAAACCAAGGTTAAAATCTCCGTACATAAAATTGCGGTATAATTCTGTAACGAATCTGTTGGAAGGGAGAGAAAAAGAGAAAAAAAAAGAAAAAGAAAAATATTTTCAAAAGGCTTCCAACTTCTTCCGCGCTATTTCACTCTCATCTCATCTCGAGGCGAAGGTATGGGCCGATGCTTATCCAATTTAGCCCTCGAGCGTGGAGCGCCGATAAGTTTTAGCTCGCGTAAGGAAAGAAGAGAGAGATTCCGTAAGGAAAGCCCGGGGAAGTTTCTCCCGAACAGCCATGGCCAGTAACGTGTCCAACAGCTTAATCTTCGACTAATCCTCGCTCCCTCTACTCGACGCCTGCGAGGAATTAGAGGTAATCCGAAACACGAGTTTAATGGCCAACTCCTCGTACAATCACAAACTGAATGTTTATAGGCAGTCCCTCGGGACTGATTGCATAAACAAAATTTGCAACTTTGCTTTGATTTGATCGATATGGTTTTTAGAGGGAGTTCGACGAATTTTTGTTTAGAAAATATACGATTAAAATGATTATTTATCCTGTGTTGGAAATGTAACGGGATATTAGGTTAGAGAAAATAATTTGAAAGCAATATTTCTACAAGCGGATTCTATTTGAAAATAGTTACTACTTCGTTTGATGTGTAAATTATCCGCAAATAGTGCATTTAATATTTACATTCAATAAAATTTCAATAAAATATCTGTTTTCCAATAAGCATTGATCGAAACGTAATAGGTATTGATTAACTGTTTTTCTCCTTTTTTCCTTATATGACACATTATAGAATTATAATGTTAATCATGTCTGGTTTTTCATATTTCAATGAAATATTTAAAATAGCATAATGTAGCAGACAATATTTATTTTTACACATCCGTTCCAAAAATCTAGTTTCTTATATATCGAACATCCCGAAGATATAATACAATTTTCGATAATCCACTTGTCGTTTAATTTAATCTCGATCGACTTGATAAAGACGCGACGAAGAAAGAAAAATCGTTTCGAATCGCTCGAATAACGTAAATTTTCTAAATCTCGAACGATCTCGTTCAAGCTAAAATAAAGTCAGACGATTCAATTTTAATAGATCTTCGATTCGATAATTACGTCGATCCACACAATTATTCGCCTTCCCTTTCTTATTCGCGATCCATCTTCAATTCGAATTCAATGGAATGAAAATCGAAGAGAATACGATATTGCGCGCAAAGAAATGTACAACGCGTATGAGAAGAGAACGTCGAAACATGATAAATAGACGAAGGGGTTCAAGTTTAGTAACGCATTCGAAACTTTCCCCCCTTCGAACTTTATCGTTTCGATACGAGATACCAGTGGTCTGGAGGGTGAACGCAACGTTGATTGGAATGGGATCGAAAGGGCTACGATTGATCGCGGCCCATCTCGTCGGAAAATCTACTTTCCCCGCGTCGATAACAAAACGACTCCCCCTCCCTGCCTCCTGGACTGGATTCTTCTAAGTAAATGTCTGTTCGCAAGTTTTTGGCCGATTGGAAAACTTATAGAGAGGAGAGGAGGGAAGAGGGAAGAGGAACTTCTTCGAACTGTCATTAGTTGGCAAGGTATGCATGTCTGTGTGTAGCGCTGTGGGCAGGCGGTCGGTTTTTCATTCGATCTCGTCTGCCTGCCTCTTTTTTTTTTTTTTTTTAACAAACACGTTGTCGACAATCGAGCGGATCGCGAGGTTACAAGAGACTTTGGAGGGAGAACAGGGCATCAGCGTAATTGGAAGTTGCCCTCTCCCCCCCTCGAGGTAACGTTCCTTTAAATTCTCGCCCATTTTCGGGAGAAACTTCGGGGAAACGATCTCACGTTTGTTCCTACGCTCGATTAAATCGATGGCTTTCCACCGCTCGTACCGATCGAGCAAAGAAGGAACTCGTAAAAGTAATTGGTTCTACATAGGGAACTACACTTGGATCCGATTGCCCGATTTAATTTTTTCACGTTTGTCAGAAGTAGTACTCGCTCGTGAGACGGAAGAGAAAGCACGATAGAAAGATTGAAAACCAAATACTTTAACTCTAATCATCGAAACAGTTATTTGTTCGATCGAATTTTAAATTATGGAAATTTTATATATATATTCCTTTCTTCGAAACTTATGAAAACGTGTAACGTTGAAATTTTTCGCCTGTGCACGTTCCTATTTTCAATTTGGAATGTTTTCAATCGTGAAAGTTTCCTTCCCTCCGTCATCGTGTTGATCGATCGCGATTAACTGCAGAGAGAGAGAGAGAGAACACGATCCTCCTCGCAGCGCGCGAGGAATCGAATTTCTGCCGATAATTGTCTCCAAACGTACACGTAATCTGGCGCCTGAGGGCCCGCGGAATCTCCTTGATTCGATTTCCCGTCGTAGCGGATAGGCAGCTTCCGGCGAAATACCCCTGGCGCCCTCCCCCCTGCAACGACGCTCCACGACGGAGTACACGGAGGATCCACCCAATAAGATCGTCTGCCCACCTGGCCACTCTCCCGCTTCCCCCCTTCGCCCGCTAAACCCTCCTCCCCTCGATCCCAAAGGCATCGGTCAAATTCGATTTTCCTTTTACATCGTACCGAACCATTCGGAATAGCGATCAGTTCTAGTGCCGAGGGAGGACCTTATTCAGGAAGTTCGCGTTCGGCTACTATAGGGCCGGCCAGTCAACCAGTCAACCAGGGGAGGGGGCGAAGTGGTAAACTAGATACGGGTACAGATAGGAAGGGAATAGAAGCAGAACGAGGTCACCTAGCCAATCCCCTTTGCAAGGCGCACCAATCTCCCTACAGTAATGTTCACGTGTGCATATCCTCCAAGCTGGCGAAGAGAATTCGTTCTATCTCTCTTTCTCTTACTCTTTTTTTTTTTCTAGATTTTGTTCCTAAATTCACTTCGCACAAGGGTTCTAGTTTTGTTAGATCGATCGAGAGTATTTTCTGATCTGATTTATTTTTACATCCCTTGTCTTATATAAAAGTCTTATATTGCGATTATTTTGTAATTCCACTTATTTCTATAATCCTCTAATCCATACTTGGATTATTACTTCGAGTAAATAAATCATGATCAGTTAAAATTCAATCATGCTGGGAATCTTTCAATTTAAATAATTTTCATCTGACCCCATTTTTATCCGATTCGAGAAGGTGCATATCATTCGAAAAAGAGAATACTTCGTGGGAAAAAGCACCCACGAATCTCGTACGCGAGTCGACGAGTCGAATCCAGATTGGCAAGTCTAGAATTGCATAATACCATCGACCTAGCAAATCCTCGCGCCGGCCTCAAAGGAGAATCCTCGTGTCGTTTCGTGTCGAAACTTTTGCGCTTTCCATCGCCTACATCCGGCACAAGAGTTCACCACCGACTCCGCAGCGCATTGTCGCGAAAATTTATCGGATGCAGAGAGAGGCGGCGTTTATTTTGACTATCCAAAACTGGGCCGAGTTTCTCGTTTCCCTGTGTACACTTCTTTGCCGGAGAAAATAAATAGATCAATTCGTTACGCGAAGCGAATACGATTGAAACGTCTTCCATTGAAATATTTACCGTTCCATTGCGAGCTCGACGATCTCTTTGTCGCACAACTGCAACAACTCTGTTGGAAACTCTCCGCTCGTTCGTTTGCGACCAGGACCCAGGCGATAACGAAATAATTACTCGGTTTGCATAACTAACGTCTGAAACAAGCCTAATTATGAAAAATGCACATTTGAACGCGCACGTCGAAACGTGGCTCGTGTGACGGCCGTGCACGAGAGATTGGATACACGCGTGGCCGCTAATGAACTAATTACAAGCGCGTACTCAGCGCATATCCTGATAAGACCTGGCCGCCCCTTGTCACGTGCGTGTCGTCTACGAGGTAGTCGAGTTTAATTTCAGAGGCGGTGATGAGGCCCGTGAATATCAAAGCAAAGGACGAGGCCAACCGCGCGATATTAATATGCAATCGAAGCCCTCTTCCGTGTAAGCCGGTTATGGCGGAGCATCGCTTAATTTCATGTTCATTCGATTAATCCACCGTGGGCTGCCGTGGTAGAAATAACAATGGTTCGAGGTCCCGCTTCCGGAACTGTACTCCTGGCCTGCCGATTTGAGTGGATACAAAAGTGGATTACACTTGCGTCGATAATTTGAGAAGAGAAATATTTAAATTTCTTTCAAGCGTTAGGTTATTTATTGAAATTTTATGAATTTTATGGCGTTTGATCGTCGTTTGGATGACTATGCTATGAATTCTGGTGACATTTGGCGGTTACGTCGATGGTTAAGGGAGTTGAGTTCGAGGGTTTGCTAGGTGAGAAGACGTTGGAGTTGGAATGTTTAGAGTTAGTGTTTAATCTTCTTAGCAGTGACAAATATTGTTTCACCGGTTACAAATGCTTACATTAGTCGAATTACAAATTTAGACACGTGTTCGATATTTTTCTCTATATCTCTTCGTGTAAATTTAACTGTTAAGAGATCAACCTTTTCGACAATTCGAATAAATAATTAATTAATTAAACAAAAGGAATATTCTTTAAAAATCGCCTTGGCCGTAGAAATATCCGCGCTAGAGATACTTGCATTCATTTTTAAAGTCTGGATCGGGCCACGTGCTAAGAACTTCGCACTGGTCCGATTCGATCGAGATTAATATTAAACAACCGCCGTGACTTTTTCACCAACCCGATGAAAGCACACAGCCACCGCTTTTCAATCTATTTATCCAAAGAGCCGTCCTTTCACGGACGGTAGCGCGATTCCCCCAACCGTAACTTTTATCACGAGACAAAGAGCCTTGGCTACGTTTCGCCTGTTGACTCTGATCGCCGATAACCCTGTACAAACCTCGTTCGAAGTATCTCTTACGGTCCACCTACGGATTCAGACGTAATACACATTCGCGAGAAGCCACGACTCGAGGGGCTTAGGGCACTGTGAACGTGACACGTAAAAATATCATGTAGGATACACCGATACGTCACGCGATCAGATAAAGGAAAAGGGGAGCTGACTTCGTCGTTTGTCGTTCCCCCCTCCACTCTTTTAGATAGAATCTCGACTCGCGGTGGCTCGCTTTATTTTTGCACCCGGCCATTTTGATGACTCAACTGCTTAGACGGACATTCCTTGGGAACGTTTGGTGCATCCAACGTGTTCAGTTTTCTGTACGGATTCCCGAGATCGAGATCAGAGAGAGGTAGCACCCCAGTGTCCTCTTTCTTTTCTAAATCCTGCTTAGAGCGTATACGTGAAGCAGATCGGACCGGGCGACAACGAAATTCTGAAATCTTCATCTGCATAATGTAGACTTTCGAGGGGATCAGCTGGATGGATGGCTCGTGCTCACATCTCGGAATAGAATTCTTTAAAAATTGTTCTGATTCGTCTTCGTACGATCAAAGTGCCTCTCTGAGCATCGTTGTACAATTCTTTTCTTTTTCTTTATGCATATTCTATTTTAACGAGATCTTAAAAGTTTTTGGAATTAGTATTGTTCGATCGTTGGATGCGAGAATGACGGAGTAACTACTTGAAGCGTTTAATTAATAACGCGAAATATCGTACGGATTGTAAAATATCGTAAATATAATCGTCTCGTAAAAGGTGTTTAAATTATTACGATTATATTATAGTACACAAAAGAGCTTTAATCATCCCTCCATTTGGAATAAATTAAATTAAATTTTTCTCCCTGGAATAATGAACGTCAACGTCGCGTTCCATTCCCCGCGACGTGTAATTACTCTTTGGACAAAGCAATCCTATTTCGCGCGTCTTGCGAATCACTCGCTCATCCAGGTAAATTCCACGGTGAGAACCGGCCCGCCAACGTTTCCCTTCAACTTCGTATCCTCGCCAATATTTGCGCGCCACGCGTCAATTATTTACGCGTAAACAGAGAACACGAATATTCATCGTTTCGCAACCCGTTAATATCGACGAATCTCGAAACGCCGTGGCAAAACGTAAACCGTGTAATTATTTCGAAAGTTCGTGATTGTTTTACGACGGTCGCCTCGGCTTTCACGAGTCTCTCTCGTTTATATGCGTCGAGGCATATAAACGAAGGCGTAAACGAAGAGAAACAATCAATTATTCGATTTCCCGATTCGCGTCACTGATCCTTAAACGACATTTAATGGAAAGACGGATTCGACAGATTTGTAGGATAATAATTAAATCTGAGACTTAATATTATTTGTGTTAAGTTAATTTTTCGTATCGTGTTTGGATTCTTTGGATTTTTCAACAAAAGTTGAAATTTTGAAAGACGCAATTCTATTTTCGATTTCTGACAAACTTTCGGAGGATACGATTAATTTCTGCATTCTATTTTCATAAACAATTGAACTGTCATTCTTAATCCCATTATTCTATTATTACTTATTATCTCCAATCCAATCTTATCATATCACCCAAAATCTCACGGATAAATCTCTCTGTTTAAAATTAAAATAATTATAAAAATTTCTTAACTCAAACTTCTTCACTTGAATTCTTCGTTCGTGATAAACTGCCTCGATTAATTCCCGATTCTTTGCACAATGAATATTCCTATTGTACCTTAGCCAACAGGTTGCCATAATTCTACGTGTCCATTAGAAAATAGCTGCATACCAATACGACGATATCAAAACCTTTCCGCGCCCTGTTTCCGCTTCATAAATTGCCAGCACAGAAGAATCGCAACAAACGCTTGTATTATCTTTTCCAGGCCTAGTTAAAAACCCGTGGTACCAACCGAACGGACGGCTCTATCTATGGCTCCATCTATCTCCGAGTTAATTAACCGGCGAAATAAAGAACTGGGTCGGCCTGTCCTAACCCCACGAGTAGATAGAACGAAGACTGATAACTGAGATCTTTGAATTTTCCCCGGTCTATGTTAATATCCTCATCCCTCACCCTTCTCCGCGCTAACGATTCCTCCAAACTGCCCACGACTTTCCCACTTACGCTCTCGTTAGCCGACCGTGAAATTCCTCGCGCTTTCCCCTACCCCCCGCCCCGTATTTGCCACCCCGTAATGTCGGTTAATTAACGTTAATTGCGACGTGTAATGAATCGCGCTCGTATTTCCACGATTCCGATACTCGATCCTGTGTATCTGTTGCTGTACGTAATCCCCTTTTCCGCGGATAATTCGAATCGATTATCGTTGGGGGGATGAAACACGCGATGGGATTGAAACTTTGAATAAGATTAAGAAACGATAAAGCGTTTTGAATTTAAGTTTTATTTTCTTGGCGAGGGTTGATCGTGAAATTTGAAACGATTTAGGGACGACGTTCCGTTTGTTCCGTTTTGGGATGGAAGTTGAAGACGTTGAGTTTGAAAGGGAAGTTGAAAATTTAAATCGAATTACGTTTCCAAACAGAGAGGCTGTAAAGCGTTTATCATGAAGAGCATTCAAGTGGAAAATCGAAGCAATCGATTTTAAATGCTAATGTATAAAACGATCGACAAAAAAAAAAAAAAAAAGAAAAGGAATGAAAATCGAGAATCAGACGAAACGATTAAATTTGAAATGAAATATCACGGATGGTTAGCTGTATCGATTATCGGATTTTCGATTATGTTTCCGCAAAAACATCGGTGATCGTGGATAGAACGTTACGATAAGACAGTTTCGAAATTGCAGGTAATTTTACAGACGTCGCGAAATTAAATAAATAAATTCAATCGCGATGTATATACACGAGCGTCGGGATACGGATTAATTATTTAAGGGGTGGTATATAGAGGGAGCTGCTCAATTTCGCCAAGAACCGCGATAAATAATTCTTGCACGGTTGGCTGGCAAGCAGCGTGGTGTGCCGCTCAATTTTTCTCATAAATCCATCAAACGATTCCTCGGGCGGGCACTTCGCGCCACCACGGAATTATCTTTCACGCCGGAAGTCGTATAAATCAAACGACTTACCGTGATCTTGAGGTCCCGCGGGTCGCACGTATCGTATCGCCTGCTGAAACGTAAAACGGTGTGCGTCTTGTTCTCGTAACCCAGTAGAAGGCAGTAGTCTTGGCTCGAGTCCATCTGGGGATCCTTGCTCGAATTCTTCACGTGTCGGTCCTGGAAAGGGTAATAACGTTTCGTTAAACTTCCGCCCGATCGAATGGTAAGAACGATCGGTTGTATCTACAAAGGAGAATAAAATCAAATATCTTGATCGCATTTCCCCAAGCCTTTTTTAACCTTTGCACGGCTCGTGGACCGTTCCATATTTTCTGCATCGATTCGTACTTGAAGCAGTAGCTTCAAATGTCGTTCGCAATTTCACAAATTGTACAATCTTATAAATTACACAATCGTAAACTGTAATACCGAAACGTTCGTTTTTTCACACAAGTTCATTCGATATTTGGAATTAACAAATGCGTGCGGGTTCTGATATGAATTACAAAATAGAAGAACCGTAGATGGAAAATTTTCTATCGTTGAAAAATTGATGGAACGATTTCTGTCCAAATCTAAAAATGAGTTTCGATTGTAATGTAAGACGAGTAAATTAAATTTTAATAAAACACAACGAAAGAAATCACCGGTTCGCTTTCTCGTTTCGCACGTTCTCATTCCATCCATGTTCGAACCTGTCATTAATAACATGGAATCGCCGTCTTATTCCGTTTCTTGCCCCAGGTCCTATTCCCGAGCGCAGAAAGATATCAAAGTTTCCGAACGAGGCAAGGGACACCCCCTCCTGGCCACCGAGGCGAAATCCACAGAGAAACAGGAGGAACGAAACTATTCGCCGCGCCCTCTTTTTCACCGATCGCTTCCTTTTTTCTTTTCCTTTTCTTTCCTTTTTTTCCCCCCCTTTTACACACCATCGTGGTCGAGAGCGGCACAAACTGACCGACCAAACCAATACCATCGAGAGTTAGTTAGTCCATCCCGTGGCAGGGCCCATGCCACGAAGACAAGTTTTTCTGCGCGAATTCCTGGTCGCCGCCTCGATATAATTATCCGCGGTTCGCCGTGGTCGCGACGCCTTCCATACCCATTGTTCCCCGCCGAACCACTACAGTTGCCCACTTTTTTTCATACCCGTTTCGGCGAGCTTTATTAGAATTTAATTTACCAGCGACGCGAACCGAGCCAACCTCATACCAACCGTGAGCTCGAACGAGTCACGCGTGTTACGCTGCTGGCCTCCTTTTGTCCCGGCATTCTTCGACTCGCCATTCGTCTCACCTCCGCCGAGTCGTACACGCGAGAGCGAAAAATATAAAAAAAAAAGAGGCGAGGACGAGAAGAAAAAGGGAAGACAGGGGGGTAAAAAAGGAGGGGAAGAAAAAAATGGAATATCCATTTACGTTATCCCCGACGCGTGAAAGGCTCGAGCTAACACGGCAGCTAACTGTGACCGTGGTTCTGATTGGATATAAAATATAAAGCGTTTCTTGCGATAAAAAGTATTATAGGCGTGCGTGCGAGGAGATCGCAAAAACGGGGAATTGTTCTTGGGGCGAAAAAACAGGGCGCAGGTGTGTGGGACCGTGGAAAAGAACGATATTGTCAAAGTCACTTAGCCCCCAAAGTGACTGCCTCGTTTCGATTTCGTCTCGTTCAGATTTTTATTTAACGATTCCGCTTCCGAATTCCTTGCTCCGCTTCCTTCACTCGGCTTTCCTCTCCAATCTCTCTCTCTCTCTTTTTTTCCTTTTTACCAGAATTTGCAATGGACACGAGCGAGTGCTTTAAAATGTAACGCAGCGAATCCGGGAGAAAATTCGAATTCCTCTAGGAAACAAGAACCATTCTTTCGCTTTGAGAACGCGACGATCCCGTGCTTTGAGCCCCGCTCCTGCTCCTTCCCGATATTGCCTTCGCGTTTAGAGTTTCGATGAACGCTTCCGGGCGAGATAGAGAAGAAAGGAGGGAGAGGGAGGGATTATGGTGAACGCCGATACAACTACGCTCTTTTGCGAGGGGAATTCGCGCCATCGCTAGAAACGAGACGCCATGAAATTTGAACTGGGCTATAACATCACCTTATTGCCGATTCAATGTGGTTTTGATCCATCATTGGCACGTCGTTTCCAAATTAGAACGTCTCTTATCCCAAATTTTTCTTTCAATTAGAAGTAACATTATTCATCATGAATATCCAATATATTAATCGCGATCTTTTATATCTAATATTAATCGTAACTTTAATATCAAATATCTACGTTTTTGGTATTACGAAAAGGATTGGCATAGATCTTGAAATATGATCACGATCGTACTCTTCAAATCCAAACTACAACCACCAAATGTGTTACGCACATAACTCAGAATCTTTTGTATAAATAAATCGATTTTTCCCGACTAAATAATTCCAAAATTCAATACCTTCCGGCACAAAACTTCGACGGCCAGAACCTTGAAATATCACACCAAGACCAGACTACCGCGCGAGGAGATCCTGAAAGGGTCTGGAAAACCGAGAGAAGGCACCACTAACGGTGGCGGCTGAGTAATAAATAATTTCCAGCCCCGTCTCGCGCAACTTCTTCAATTTCCGCCTTCACGTCGGAAATGGAGAGCATATTTTTACCCTCCCCCTTCTTCTAGACATCTACCACCTTCACCGATCAGAAAATCGGACTTTCCCTCCTCCACGTCACTTCTTCACTCGTCCGAAGCCACGATACTTTTCCCAGATTCGAAGGACGTTCGTTGAACGAGGCCAGCCGTTCGTTCCAAGTTCCCTTCTCCCTCGTCGAATCGAGGGAAGAGCCATGATCGAGTAGAGAACGCGTTGTAAACGCGCGCCAACTTTTTTCTTCCCTGTGAACGAGGCAGAGGGAGGCGGAAACGTCGTTTTCGACGGTCGTCGAATTCCGCCACCGAGCGGTGGCGAGCAATTGTTCCCCTGTTCCATCCAGGGCATGACTGTTTATTGCCATTTGAGAGGCGCGTGGAAACGTTGCGTATTCCGCGAAAGAATGGCGGGCAACGAGTGGCGCGTGTGTCCCGCAATTATACGAATTACGTCTGAGCCATTCAACCGGAGGGACAATACCTTTCGTGGGTGGCTGACAGAGAAATCGTGCGATTCGACTTTTGTTTCGATCGGTCGTCCGTTTTTTTTTTTTTTTTTTTTTTTCTTTCGAACGAAGATGATGGGACTTGGTGGAGATTATCGACGAGTTCATCTGAAAGAATGACTTAATTGCGGTTCGACGTGTAATTTATGGATTAATTACTTAATTCTTGCCATACTTTTTAAAATTCTGCGGGAATATTGCTTGAAATTCAATTGGAATTTGTATTAAACGTAATTACTTTTGTATGGAATTTTTATATATAAATATATATTAGTTTGTATTATTATTTTATTTATTGTTACAAATGTAAGAAGTAAGAAATGTTTGAAACATGAACGGTTATGGCGAACTTTAAGTAGATTGATGACGGTACTTTATTAGGCAAGCTACTTAAGCGGAACGAACCATCTGACTCACTCCTAATCTACTGAAATTTGCTTTACTATCAAATATTCATTTCATACTTTTCTTCTCTCTCCCTTTGTCAATTAATTAAATTATTATCCTTTCCTAATTCAATTCTCAATCCTAGCGTATATATTTATCCGCCGCGTTACTCGTTAAGAAAAATAATAATTATTAATCACGAGACAATGGGTGAAAAAGAAAAATTCTAAAATTCTCCAAGTTTGTCGAGAGTTGATAAAGTTTCTCCTCCACGAAACTTTTCCACGCTGCATTTCCTCGCTTCGCGTGCGACACACACGACTCGGTTCCCGCGTTGCTGAGAGAAAGAAAAAGAAGAAAAGAAAAAAAAAAAGAGGAAAGGAAATCAGGAAATGCACGTTATAAAAATGTTATCGCGATACAAGTGTCGTTTCCACGGCGTGTACGCGTCCCACGGTCCTCTTTTCTTTCCATCGACTGTCGTTCCAGTGTTTATTGTCGCGTGGGCGTCATGCATATAGCAAACACGCGATTCCCCCTAAGTCGCTCGATTCCACGCAGCCGCTTCATTATGCAACACGCGTTGCAATTATTTGCGCAATATCCGGGTAAATGTCGCGGGTAAAGTGAAACTTTTAAATGGACGGAAGGATGTCGGTATCAAGCCCACGCAAGAAGGATCGAAGAATCGTTTGAGCGAAAGAGAGTGGGCGTGCAATTATGAAATGTGTCGATACCTTGGAAAAAATTCCAGAGGCGCGATGAAAAAAGGAAAAGCTCTTTTGTCTAATCTAACCTCACGTGATAATCTATGATGTTTCTAAGCCCACACGAGTTGAAGAATTTTTGCGTGAATGGGATGAGCTCTTCTCGGAATTATTGTTGCACAGCAGAACCCACGTGAAAGAGAAACGCGGTTTATAAAATCTATATGTCTTGGAAATTTAATCTAATCTTAATTGTTGATTCAAGGCGTTAAAAATTTTTATCTAGATTCGTTCAAATTGAAAAATCTTTATGCGAAACAGGAATGCAATTATCGAAATCGTACTGGTGAAACTTTTCGAAGTCACGACAAAGAAGGAAATATTGCGTCGAGTAATGTTGATTTGCGTTTCAATCTAATCTGGTTAATTGCATCTAGCATAATACAAACCTAAATTAAAAAAATGTTTACGTGAACGAGGCGTATAATCATAAAAATCGCAATGATACCCTTGCAACTTTCCAAAGTCACGGTTTGAAAAAAAAAAGAAACATCGAATAATGGAAGGTCTCTCCTTCGAACCTAACCCGATAATTGCACCTAATTTTACCTAAGCACCCAAGTTAAACAAAGTTTAACACGAAATAGGCGTGCAATTGCGAAGAAATCGTTGGCCTTGGACCCTTCTAAAGTCACGGCAAAAAAAAAAAAAAAAAGAAAAAAAGAGGGGAAACAGAACCTTGCATCGCAAGACCCCTTCTTCCTCGTAGAATAGAGGAGTCGCGAAAATGACTGACACGAAAAACTTCGACAATATTCGCTTCGATCCTATTTCCTCCTTTTAGCAAACGATATCGTTCCGCTCAATTCCAGCTTCGAAACGATGAAAGCACGGGTTATGCAACGACTCCGGGCCTCGTAGGAGCGGCGCCAAGTAGGGCGCA